TGATCAGAAGCCTTGTAACCTATAAGGTAACTCTGCAATAATGCGAATACATTTGCGTTGTAATTTAAAAATTTTATCTGCTTGGCAAAAATGACCCCAGTTCAAAATAGCATAGCACAGATGTGAGTGAAAAAAAAACATAATAGGCTGACAGCAATGTTTTTATCGAAACAGAATTAACAAGGCTTCTGATCAGGAACATCTTTTTAGATAGTTTTTTAGATAACTCGTCAATATGTTGCTTCCAAGACATTTGGCGATCAATGTTCACTCCGAGAAATTTCACTTGCGAGGCGCAATTGGTGAACACATCATGCACATAACGCAAAGTAAACAAAATAGATTGAGTTTTGTTTTGATTGAGATACATTTTATTTGCAAAAAACCACTACTTAACGTTATCCTGTGTTGTTTGAACATTATTACGAAGGACACTGGCCTGACCTGCACTATTTAGGATCGTAGTATCATCTCATCCGCAAAGAACTTGGAAATGATATCACTATTTGGTAGATCGTTTATATAAATGAGAAACAATACAGGCCCAAGGACAGATCCTTGTGGGACTCCGGGATTCATGGTTAAGCATGAAGATTTACTTCCATTAAAAGAGACAAATTGAGATCTGTCACTCAGGTATGATTTTGTTAGGGGAGATACTATTTGGATCAAAGTTATAGCGCGAAAGTTTTTGAATTAAAATGTAGCTCACACAGTCAAAAGCCTTAGTAAGGTCATATAAAGTACCATTAGTAATGTCTCTATTCTCAAAGCCACTCAGAACTGAGTGCATTAAGTTCTTTATTGCTAGTGAGGTGGACCTTTTATTACGAAAGCCAAAGTGACAGGAGTGAAATAAGTTGTTTGATTCAAAATATTCGTTAATTTGATACTTTAGGATCTTTTCCAAAATCTTGGATATAATTGGAGTTAAGGAGGTGGGTCTATAGTTAGACGAGTCATCCATGGGTCCCTTCTTATGAATAATTTTTGCTAGTTTAAGAATATCAGAGAACACATTATTCTTGATACATTTGTTAGTTAATTAGGTAAATAGTTAGTATAGTTATTCTGTGAATCAACGTAAGGAACAACTATGATGTTGATAGGATTCTTTGAACTTATTACGCTCTAAATAAAGACTGAGGTTGATAAAATACTTACAACTAAACTAAAAATACTAAATAATTATAAAGAGAGTACACACAGTTAACACCAATACCTATGATTATACAAACAGGCATGAAAACATGTGCAAAAGCAAGACACATACAATTATAGTTATTTATGGTACTAGTGTGTTACGGTATATGTGTATGTCACGCTGGGAAATTTTCCCAAGTGACTTATATGAAGTAACACACGAGTGCTACACAAAATTTTATCTAACACTTTCATAGAATTTCGTTTTAATAATAAATAAAAGTAACTTAAAACTTCAAGTTATCATTGTCAGAAAAAGTAATTTAACGAAATGAATGTATTTTTAAATATTACAAAGGAACGGTAATGTCAACCTAAATTGTGTCTGTAACCAAGGGTTATCTGCAAACAAACAATATTTTTTGAGTTGAAATCACGTTGAAATCCTGAAAAAATGGAAAATGTGGAAATTCCATCTGAAATTTTAGAAAAA